AGACACACACCCACACACTGAGCAGCATTGTTTGTATTTTATTATAGTATTCGCGCTTGTCCCATAATTTATTCAAATTGCAGCGGAAGAGGAAGAGCACAATGTTATTTATCTATATATATGTATATATATATATATGTATATATTTTATATATGTATAGTTGTACATACATATGCATGTCTAATTGTTATTTATGCTTATCTAACTTTTTTTTTCATTTTTTTTTTAAATATACTTAATTAGCGTATTTATGTTAAGAAAATTATTTGAAATAAAAATAGAAATGAAAAAAAATACTTGAGAACGTTGTCATAAGTGGAAGCTCAGCCAGCCGAACTTCTGCTTTGCTAGTCTCAGTCTCTGTTTCTTTGATCATGTTTGAGCACAGCTTCTCTCTCTCTCTCTCTCTCTCTCTCTCTCTCTCTCGCGCTGTTTGCCCTTCGCTTCTTTCCTCTCTTGCTGTTCATTTACGCTCCTAGCACAGCACTAGGCGAAGATCCTATGCTTTTTCCAATAGTTTGTCTCCTAGAGCCGCTGCTCTCTCTCTCTCCCTCTCTCTCTACTGAATCTCTAGTGAATCAAGTCAATTACATAGATTAATATATGTATATGTATATAGTATATATAAATATGTATATTTCCAACTCGAGCTGAGCTTCTTTGCAGTTAGATCTTTCCTTAAAAAAGTAACTTTAGCTCATTTCTAATGAATTACCCACACACACACACACACACACATACCCACACACACACACACAGACATACCCATACACATACACACATATCCTTCAGCTGTTGTTGTTGTTCATAATTTAAATGCTTATCTTGTCATCAACATCTATCTCATATGTGTGTGTGTGTGTGCGTGTTCGTATCTGTATCTCTTTACATATAATTGATACTATCTGCATTTTGATTTGACTCGTTCGCCTTGACTGTGCCCCGCTCCGCTCCCTCCCTCGGTTGGCTTACCTTTTGTTGTGGCTTGGGCACATTCCACAGGTTGCTCCAAAGTTCTGCCTTGGCTCTGCCGCCCTTTGCCTGCCACGCCCACCCCATACAATGCTCGTCGCTGATGATCATGTTGACAATCTTTCTTGCTGCTGCCCCTTCCTCTTCTTCTTCTTCTTCATCTGTTGCTGCTGCTGCTGCCTCTTCTGCTCCTCTGGGCATTTCTCGGAATTTCACAACTGTTTCAACATGTTTTTTTTTTCGTTGGGAAACCTTTTTTCTCTCTCTCCTTTTCAGGTCTGTCGCAGGTTTTGGTGTTTTTTTTCTGTGGTTTTCTCTAATACGCGCGCATATTCATTAATAATGTTAATCGATTTGAAATCAAACAAAAACATATAGATATATGTCACTTGTTCTCCTCCCCCCTCTCTCTCCCTCCCCCTCTCCCTCTCACTCTCTGTTTCTTTGCTTGACGACCTCTCTCTGTGCTTCTCAATCCTTTGACTGCTCGTCTGTAAATTGCCTGCAGCTGTGCCATGACCTCAGCTTCGCTTCCATCTTAATTAGTTGTTCACCTCTTCAGCAATCCCCCCCTCTGTCTTCCACCCCCGGCTGCATAAATCAGCTGCCAAGCGCCGGCTGAGCGACATCAAATGCAACTCAAATCAAAATGTCATAACTTCCACAGCGCCGACACAAGCGACAATACGTCAACATGCCACATAACCACACAGAGTCCGCCGCCTATTCCCGCCCACTGGCGTGGGGCTCTCGCCTTTAATTAGTCGCTGCCCGCCCCTTCCCCACTTTACTTAACGGCACCCGCCCAACTCTTTTTCGCCTGCGCGTCGCAAACAAATCACATAATTATGATTGAGCGCAGCCAACGCCAGATTCCAGATCCCCGATCCCAGTCCCATCCTCAATCCTATCCCTGTTGCCTAGCCCTTGCCCCAGCTACCGTTAGCTCGACCAGCTGTGGCGCATTTTGGGGCTTCGTTTATGGCGCGTGCATAAAAATAAATCTGTCCGGCTTGCAGCTGCCGTAATTGAATGCAAATGCCCATCCAAAAATACGCCTCATCTATTGAAGCGATGCAGCCCACTCCCTCGCCTGCCTCTCCCTCACTCTCCCTCCCTCTCTCTCTTTCTCTCTCTTGTAGCGTGCAGGCGACAATCTGCTATAAATTATCGTGTGTAGGTGCCACAGCTGCCCCCCTCAGCCACCTAGGCCTAGGCAGCCCCCAGCCTCTATGCTCCATTGTGTTTGCTGGCGATGCGTGGAAAACTAATTTTCCAATCCCCACTCTCAGTGCTAAACTCACTCCACTCTCTACCTCTGTCTACCCCTCTCTCCCCCACTCTCTCTCTCTCTCTCTATTGAGAAATCTTTTGCCTTTTTCCTGTGTCGTTTATCTTGGGCACATTTTGATATTCATAATTTGTGGCGTGTGGCTCCGGCGTACTCCTTGTGGCATGTTGTTAAATTGCACCACGTGTTTTTGATAATGACGACATAATTATCCCAGTTCCTGCCCCTACAGACTCGAAGACAAAGCCAAAGGCTGGCAGAGAGAGCAGAGGCAGAAGAGCCAAAGAGAAACCCAACGAAACTCCAGCAAGAGCATGTCTTCAGTCAAAGTGCTCTCTGTATGCGATAGTCCATGCCTTGCACTCGGTCAATCTTGATTGATTGACCCGCTGAAGCTGCGATAGTCGCAGTGTGGGAAGGATAGATAGTAGGGAATTGTGGATGGGACAGTAAATGGGAAACAGCTATCGGCTAGAGCTATAAAAGTTCTACGGAAAGTAACGGGAGTAGTGTGCCTAAGCCTTTCAGTAGATGGAAACTCTACTCAGATGACTGTTAACTTAACATCCGCTCTTAACTGCAGGCTAACATTTGCAAGGAACAAAGCGACGGGGCGTGTCAGGGGCAGAGAGCGCGCCATGCTAAGCCAAATGTAAAGGAGGGACAGCGACAAGGAGCAAAAGGAGCTGGAATGAATAATACAAAGAAATCGCTCGCGGTCATATAGAGCACTAATTTAAATATCATTAGTAAACAATTAAAACAAAGGGAGCTCCCTTGACAATGCGGGCTGGTATAATACCAGCTCGCCTGTCAGCGCGCGACACGCCCACGGGCGGTTGGGAGTGGGGGAGGGGGGTGCGATTACATAAATGTCACAGAGCGAGAGCCGAGCTTAATGAAAGGCAAACAAATCAAAGGGCGACATTTCAGTGTTTTGGGTCGTTTTGGCTTTACGCAAAGTTGTGACAGGTCGCAGAGAAAAGGATTGCGCGACATAAAGGACATGGAACAACAGCAACAACAACAACAGCAGCAACAACAACAAAAAGCCCGTCAAGGAATACGAAAAGGATTGCTTTTGTTGTTGGGCCCCAGCTCTTAATTGCATTTCATGAACAATTTGTCAAAACACACACACACACACACACACACACACACACACACACTCGAGACTAAAGCGCCGAGCTAGCTCTCCTCGGGCGCTCTACCCCCCGCCCATCGCCTGCCGTCGAAAGGAAAAGGCTGTGCTAACATTTTTCTAATTTCCACTCTCTAGTTTATAAACGTGCCTTATCTGCAGCCTGCGGCCGTTCACATGGTCCATGCGCCGGCTTTCGGACACGTGGCACCCCCCAGAACCAGCCTCCCTCCCCCTCCGCACTGCCCCGCAGCCCCTCAAGTGCGCAGCCGTCGTGACGCTCTCGACCGCAAATCACCTGATGCTATTTTTCCCATTGCGTACAATAACGTCTGCCACGCCCCGCTTAAAAGCACAGGGGCGTCCACCCCTACACGCCCTCACCCCCTCGCTCCTTGTCTCTCTGTCATAATGGCTTGGCTGGTTAGCTATACAATATGTTTGTAATATGATCCTGCGTGCTTCAGCATAATTTGTTATTTTAGCTATCGCATTATGCTACCTCTGCAGCAACCCCAGCCTACCAGCCGCCCCAGCCCCCCCCCCTTCTACCTTTGATTAAACTACGCACTTGGGTAAGGCATGCAGACATACATATATACACATATATATACTTATACGTAAATGGATTTCTCGCAGCGGAACATCTTTTGTCAGCCAAAGCAAAAATACAAACAAAACAAAAAAAAAAAAAAAAAAGAAAAAAAAGAAAAATATCGATTACATTCGCTGAAAAGTTTTTGTCTGTATGCAGAGGCTGAGGACGAAGCAGCAGAAGGAGGTGGCGGTGGAGGTGCAGGAGAAGAAGGACAGCGCTCATTGGAGGCCCCAGGAATAACATAACCATAAATAAGGGTAATAAAATTGATGCTCAGTTGTCGCTGCAGCTGTCCTGCACTAAGAGCAACAAATAAATTGTTGCTGTTGTTGCTTTTGTTTTTGTTTTTGGCGATCGAGCAATACTCATAACACTAACTCACAGTCAGCATGGCAAACAGCTACCAACTTTTAATGAGCTCTCTTCTTCTGTCTTTCCCTCACTCCCAGTCTCACTCCCTCTCTCTCTCTCTCTCTCTCAGTCCATGAACAGTTCACCAGGATGTAAATGCAGCTTAAAGTTTTGTGACGCAGCTTTTTCAAGGTATTTGTTCTTGTTCCTGCCTGAGCAGCAAGCAGAGCCAATTCATCCGTTAGTCTTCATACTCAACTTGAGCTCAGAAAAGCTTTTAGTGTCTCTGTATTGGTGTGTCTCAAGCTTGAGCTCTGCGGCGAATTGCATTTTCGACTATGCTCTGCATAGCCAATTCGCCTTGATAGTAGCTTTAAAATAATATTTGTGTGCACACATACAAATATACATCCATAAAATATATACATACACACATATAAAATTTGCCTTGGGCTATTTTAAAATTTATTTCATTCAACTGTTTCTTAAGCAATCTAAGTATAATAATTAACTTTATATAATATGTATATTAAAAAAAAAGAATTTTATATAATTTATTAAAATGTTCACTTACATTTTGTACATACATGTACATGTACATACATACATATGTATATGTTTAAGATAACTCAAGGAGGAAGACAAATATCTATGTATATAGTATGTGTATTGTCCAAAAAATTTTGGTTTGTTTTTTAAGTCCAACAAATATCTTGACATCTAAATCCGGAGTAAATACATGGCAATACTTTGTATATGTATATGTACATACGTGTAATTGAAGTATTCGTTTGTCGTAGTTGTTGTTTCTGCTTTTTGTTCGCATACAGCTGTCTTGCATGTATTGGTATTTCGAGTACTTAAGAGAGTGAGCACTCAATTTCGATAATGAGAACGGATTCGCCTCACACTTGAGCTCACTTGCAAAGCGAAGCCGACAAATGCTCTTTTTTTTATGTTTCGTTGTTGTATCTCCTTTTCACTCTTGCTGCTGCTGCTGCTGCTGTTGTTGTTGTTGTTGGTGTAACTGTTTGTGTTACGTTTTGTCTTGCTTTGTTGTTTCGCTGCAGTTGTTGTTGCTGCCATTGTGTTTGGCCATTGGGCGAAGCATGCGAACAGCGGCGAGTTATTAAAAACAATATTCGCCGGCTAAGCGCAGTCAGGCGTGCAACGGGAATGACAGCAGCAGCAGCAGCAGCGGCAGCGGCAGCGGCAGAGGCAGCGAATTTGGATTGAGGAGTGGGCAATGTGCGGCTTATCTCGCATCTTTGCATTAACACTTCGGGTTTCGCCGCCTGCTATTGTTGTTGTTTTTGCAGCTATGCGCACATTTTCACACACATACAAGGAGGCACACGCATGGCACAAAATGGCTGCCAGTGTTGGCATTTCGCTTATCAGATCAGCGCAATCGCTGCGCTGTGACAATGAAAATTTAGCACCTTGAATCATACACACACATACGATCACACACATACATACAATTGCACGCTCTCTCTCTCTCTCTCTCTCTCTCTCTCCTCTCTTTCTCACGTTTGCGCTTACAACTTCTCAAAGGCATTCGCATTGGTGAGCATCTCACGAGTCAAACGCCAGACCTGCTTGGCGGCCTGCTCCAGGGCGCTGGGGGATTTGCCCTTGAACATATCGAGGCTGGGCAGAAAGTAGTGCGGACAGCGACGGTACTGCAGGCAGGAGATTAGCTGCAGGAATATCCCATTCAAACGGTCCGCAATGCAGCCCTCGTCCCACTCAAAGTCACGCGGATGCTTCTCGCACTCGTAGAGCAGCAGATTCTTCAGATGATAGGCGCTGATCGGATTGCCGGGCAGCTCCAAGTGCCGGTCACGCAGCGTCTTCAGTATGCTCAAGCAGCGACGACGGCAGCCACCTTTGAAGATTCACATCATCATCACCATCATCACCATCATCATCATCATCATCATCTCAGTTGCCAATAGATTGTTAAATCTCTCTCCCCGCTCACTCACCTTGCAGCAGGCGATTCTCGGCCTCGAAAAAGCTGAGCACCCAGGCATCGCCCTCCATGCTGGCCGCATTGTTGTTCTTGTTCTGCATGACGATGCTCTCCTTGGAGAGCAGATCGAACCCCTCCGTCTTCACTTCGGCCACGATGTTGGGATGCGGCCAGGGTATGTGCGGCATGGGCCAATGGGCCGCCGATCTCGGCCAGATGCCGGAGCACTTGAAAGCCGGCGTTATTTGCACCACGAAACGTTCCCGGATGCGCAGCTTCACCTCTGTCGTATCGCCCATCATCTTGACCATGTCCCGGTAGATGCTCTTATCGCACGCCTGCGCCACCAGCGTCTGGAACCGTGCGCGTATCTTCCGCGACGACAGATAGCCGGACGCTGTGATGAACTCCACCCACAGTGACATGGAGCGTTTGCGTCCGTCGCTCAGCTTCAGCACCGCACAGCCGGGCAGAGTGCCGTCGTCCACAAAGTTGAAGACGCCCATCTGGTTGAGGTAGAGCACGATCTCGAACTCATTCGGTGAGATCACCTCGACGCCCTCGAATCTGCAATGGAAGCAACACACACACACACACGCACACATATATATAAAGTCAGAAACGTATTGTAATCCTCGACTCAGCTTCGGTATCGACTGCGTCTAATCAATGGCTGCCAATTGGAGCTGCGTAATTCGGTCGCCTGATACCTGTCAGCGCTCTCCTGCCTCACCGGCTATAATCGCACAACAACAACAACAACAACAACAACAACAACAACAACAATGGCAACACTGTGCTGCTTCTTGAATGGCATGAAACATGCGATGTCATTGCTGTCAAGTCATGCTCCTCGGCTTCTCCTACTGCTCAATATCGATTGCATCTACCCGACGAGCGCCGCAGTAAGTGTGAAGGATTAATGATATATGTATCTATATGCTATAAGTTTATAAATTATACTTTTTTAATCATTTTAATTTCGAGATATGATCTTAAGTGTATATGTATGTACATCTATACATATATGTATACCCAAGTAGAGGTTGATTCTGAAAATATTGCCAAAACTCTATAAACACTATGCTCTAAATAATGCTTTGATACTGTATATAGAGCATAGTGTATATAGAGCTTTGGCGATATTTTCTGAATCAACCTCTACTTGGGTATACATATATGTAAAGATGTACATACATATACACTTAGGATCATATATACTTAAGATCAGATCTCAACTAACATCTGATCAAATATTAATTTATAAAAATATATATCGTATCTTAACTCAACTAAAATCTGATTACATTTTTCGATAGGGTTAAATTCAAAAGTTAATAAATTTGATATATGCTTGAGTCTGGATCTATGGTATTACCTACATTCGTGTTTGAATGGAGTGTACAAGTGATGGATTATATTAGTATACTAGTTAGTCTGATATCCTCAAGCTGAAACGGCATATAATCATATATGTTTCATAGTATATAATATCGAAATGTATAATATGCCAAGTAATTTATCACTGTCCTGGCCATCGAATCCTTGCTGAGGACGTGAAAAAGTCATAGAACACGTCATCGATTGATAAATCGATAGAACAGGTAGAAAATCCTGAGGCTAAGGTATGAGACTGTCTTATCTGAATTCTAGATAATAAAGATAAATATAAGAAAATTTCACAATTCGAATAAATGTGACATATTCTTCTAGAACGTTTATAGAGAAAATTTTTTGTGAGGAACTATGGGTATTGCCTTCTCCAGTTTCCCACTGCCTCTATAAATATTTTTGACTATATCATTTCACCTCAATATATGCCCTGAATAACATCAATTTTTGGAAGAACTTTTCCATTTGTCAATCTCAAAGGCTTCATAAAAATCAATAAAAATTTCCCTCAGTTTGTTTAGGCAATTCGAGTGGGGATTTTCCACTCTCAGATACTCACCTGCCATTGCACTCGACCAGGCTGGATATGAAGCGGGGCTCCTGCAGCTCCACCTCCTTGAGTATGTCCTGGACAATCTTGCAGATCTCACGGATGGCCGTCGCCGTCTTGAAGATGCGCGCTTGGACGCGCTCGGCGCAGAAGCGATTCAGCTGGTAAATCATGCGCGTCTGGGCGGCCATCATATCCGGCGGCACCAGCATCTCGAGCTGCGATGATATTTATGTTAGATGGGGCAATCGGGTGCCCAAGCACGGGATGTACCCAGAAGGTTGCCTGCCCGCGCTGGCGGCTAACAACAAACGGCGGCGTTGACGTTGATGTTGAAGTCGAAGTTGGAGTCGGAGTTGGAGTTGGAGTTGGAATTGGAGCTGACCTCGAGCGTATGCCAATTATGCGAGCTGCAAACGAAATCGGAAGCGGCTGCTGAAGCCGAGCTGAAGGTGGAGACGGCGGAGGTGCAGGAAAGGGCGGTGCTGGAGTAGACAAAGGAACAATTCAATTGTGAGTTACGTTGACAGGCGAAGTGGCAACAATGGGTAGCAGCACAGCGCGAACTCTTGACTTTGGCTTTGCTTTTGTATTTATATTAAATGTCGCGTATCTTCAATATAGATCTGTGTATATCTGTGTGTCTGTGTGTGTGTGTGTGTGTGTGTACCGAGCCGGGCTGGATTAGCTGTGGCGATTGCGTTAATGCGGATGCGTTATGGCCGAGCCGAGTTGTCGTGCGTCTGTCGAATGCCTCTGCCACAGCCTCGACGGGCTCGATGCGCTGCTGCGATGCCAGCTAACAAAACACTCGATGCCGATTCAGGCGAAAAGATACGCGGCCGAGTACGAGTACGAGTCCCAGTCCCAGACCCAGTCCGAGTGCGAATCGGAGTCCGGAGTCGTTGCTGGCGTTGTAAATCTCGCGAATATTTACAGCTTTGCCAGATAAAGCACACACAAACACACACACACACACACACATAAAAGTGCACTCTGTGTGTGTGTGAGTGTCTCATGAATGGGCTATGAGTACACCCACAAAGGCAGCTGCAGCGAGAGCCACGAGCACCAATGCAATTGCAGCCATAGATACAGATGCAGATACAGATGCAGATACAGATGCAGATACAGATATGGATGCAGTTATAGATGCAGCTGCATCTGTCAGCGTGTCACGTGACACATGAGCCGCGTGATTGTCGCCTCGCTGGTCTCGTGCCAATTCGACAGCAACAACAACAATGTATCTGCATCTGCATCTGTATCTGTGTATCTGTAAGATACATACACACATCTAACTGCAGCGAGCGCTGACTAATCAAAGGCACAGCGCCTGCAGCCATGCCAAAGTATCTGAGAGCGTACCACAGCTACCTCTCTCGCTCACACGTCTTATCTCTCTCTCTCTCTCTCTCTGCGCTTGGCTCTGCCATTGGCCGGCGCTAGCTCCGCCCACAGAGCGCGGCGAGCGAGCGCTCAACATGCCGTCGGCCTGTCGCTGCGTCCGTCTGTCACGCAGCGGCGCGCTCTTTGAAGTGTCTCTCACTCTCACTCTCTCTCTCGCTCGCTCTCCGACTTGATTGTGCGTGTGTGTGTGTGTGTAAATTTAATTTGTTAAATACATTTTGTGCCAGACGCCGTCGTACACGAATTGTTTGCAATAATTTATCTGAAATGTGCACTCATTTAGCAACGGGCCGCGAGCAACCCTCGTCCAGTCGATATCTTTATATCTCACGGATACACGAACACCACAAACTCTTACATTTCACAGATACATACACACACACACATATATATATACATGCGGATACATTCATAAATATGTCGCCGGGATTAATGTGCCAGTTGGCAATTTCTGACAGCGTTATTCCAGCCAAAAGCAAACGACGCGACTTCTGACTCTCCCTCTCTCTGTCTTCGCCCCCTCCCCTGCCACGCCACCTCTCTAGCCGTATACCCTGCATATACTTAATATATATGTACATATATAGCCAATGTGCCCAGAACTCCAAACTCAATACATCTTTCGATTGGGCACTCGCATGGGCAAGTGCTCCGCATTGTCATCGTCATCGGAGCAGTCGAGATTTGGGCCCAGATCAAAGCATTCGTCAAAATTAGTTTTGTTGTTGCTTTCAATTAGATGAAAATCTTTTGCATTTGGCACTAATTCAAATGGATGTCAACATGGGCAGCTAGCAAACAGCGCATAAAACAAGAAAACATCGCACACAAAGATCAAAAATATCAAACTCTGATTAGAAGAGGTAAAAACAAGAAAGAAAGCTCTAGTCGAGACTGCTCGACTACGAGATCCCCTGAA